GGGGTGTGCAATCGAACTCCTGCAAGTTTGCAGGGGGCAGTGGCCGTCAGCTTCAAAATCGAAGAGCGACCTGGATGCCATTTGCGAAAGGGTCTTGGTGACATGGAGTCTCCAGTCTCTTTCTAGCTCTGAACTCTGAAGCAGCTGTGTACATGGAAGTAGCTTGCATGATTCAACATGCGCTTGGTTGCGGCTATCGACTCCACACCAAGCCTTGCATTCAGCGTTAGGACAGCAGTGTGTGCCGTCAGCCTGCACTTGGAGAGTGGACAGCAAGCCAAGAAGGCTCAGGACTGATATTTCAATGATATCCGTGTGCTGCTTGAGTTGAGGGTGATGGTCATCCCAAGGGGCTTGAGTTGTTTGGTCGTAGGAGCGCGTCGAACAGCTCCGGGAGATCTTACAAGGCACCTGCATGCCGTGACAAGCCTAGTTGGAACAAAGCTTTGGCATTCCAGGTGGCAGAGTGCCCACCCCATGGCGCAGCCAAGCAAAAACAAAAACAGCGGGTTTTGACGGTGACTGCATGATGTTCTGATCTCAGTAGAACCTGGGGCCCTGCTGCCTGAATATACCAAAGACTTACAAGGCTCATTCCAAGCGAGGTATATCATAAGTGCTTGCTGAGGGTTCTGTTGCTGGTGTTGCGTTCACGCTCCTCACACGGGCACGCCACTAGGACTGCCTTCTTAAAAAGGGCAAGATGCTTACATGACCAGCGGGAAGGGGAGCACCAGCTACTCCAGCCGGATCATCGGGCTTTGCTCTGCGTGAGAAGTCTGGCTAACTTGAGGCTCCTGTACGCATCGAATTCTTTCAAGGGACCAGAAATGTGGCGCGCGGGCGCATGCGCAACTTCAATTCTCGTCTAGCTCCACTTTCGTCCCTCTGCAGGTCTTCGGCCGGATGAGAAGGTCAAGCATGACGTCATCGTGCTAGGCACCTTGCCGCGATATTCTGCAAAGTTGCGGGTGGCCGTATCGTCCTCAGAACCATCAGAACGGACAAAGACTTTGTTTTGAAGATCCCAGGCGGCGATTTCAACTTCCGAGCCTCCTTCCCTGAGATCTTGGGGCAAGTCCCGGATGTCCTCTCTCGAGGATACTCGGCGCCGGCTGGGATTTGATCCAGACCGCCTGGCGGGAGATCCGTTTAGGATGACATTGACATTTACTCAACTGAAATTCCCTCAGGATGGCCAAGCAGTGGTACCAGTCAACGAGTCGGGGAAGGCTCCAGTCAGACAAGCGACGAGGTCTTGAAGCTCTTCCGGACTTGCCACGCAGATGCAGAGATGCGGAAGGTTGAGGGGGTCCTTTTGGACGCTCTCATAGGGAGTCGCAGTTGAATGACCGTGTTTGTGCTTGTCACTGTGATACCCAGTCGATGAAGCGACGGCAGACGGCAGCAAATGCAGGCCAGCAAGCCAGCTTCTGCAAACACTGCCTGTGTCCAGTTGCGGAGGCACGAGCTGCAGGAGTTGCTCAAGGCAAAGCACAGCTGCGTGTGGAATTCTGCAGAATTTCAACTTAGCATGCTAGAAATGAGGGGCGGGGTGCAGCTCGGAAATGTTAGTGGGTGTAAGCAAGGGATACTTCCAAGCAAGGAGTTCGCTCTCACGGAGGGCCCCGTTCGCTTCCCGCCCACCTACAGGCTCGTGGAAGGACCCTATTTGCCAATTGTGTTCTAGCACTGCTCGTCTGAAGGCCCCGTCTCACAGCAGCAGCATGCTAGAGCAGTCTATCGAAATGGCTTTCCTCATCTGGCTCAGTACTTCTCAACAGGACAAAGTGCCTACGACCTGGAACGTCTTCCGGCCTGGTGCGACCGCGTGCTCCACTCTAGAGTAAGCGTGGTGAGGAAGTGTGGCTCGTCCTCAATGGACCTGGTCACGCTTGATTCTGATGCAGCCAACTTCTCACTGAGTCATGTTGAGGCTACTGTGCGCTGGGGCATCTGAAGCAGACCGACCATCGGCCTGTTTGCGTGCCATGGCTGAAGATGATATCCTCAGGTCATCATGAGGACAGGCAGCAAGCACTCTCCGCGGAAGTACTGCATCATAATTACTGTGCATCGCGCTTGCAGGGCTCAAGGAATCTACTGTAATGAAACTAGTTGCCCTCGTTCCTGCAGTGTCAACTGGTATTCTCGTGCAGCAGGATACCAGGAAATCGCTTCGCCTACTTCAGGCTTGGCATTGTCTGCAGTGCCATCAGTGCCTTGGGCTTCACTCGCACTCCCACTCAATAAAAATGCCAATTAAAATGTATAACCCCAATATTACAGTAGTTTCCATTTGATTTTCCGTTATCCCAATTTATTAGTGGTCACCTACATAATCCCTGTACCCTAAACCCTAAAGCCTTATGCGGAAGGCCCAGGATGCCTTGAGTTCGGTAAAGGAACTCTGCGCACAGTCGTTGACAAGCCGACGTTGGGCCGCCCAATGCGGCAGATTGTGCAAACAACGCCCGGTGCGGAATACATCAAGCGATCTTGAAAAGCCTTGCTGGAGATGAGCGATGGGCAGTTACATGCTGGATCCAACAACGGCCGAAGTATGTAAGCGCCATTGAGAAGACAAAGGCTGGTATCAACGAAGTTTCAGGCGCTTTGGACCACAGTGCTGTCTCGGGCCAGCAGCACCTGCAGTCCCAGGCACAACACCACCACCAACGCTGACGAGCTTTGGCCCACCGGGTGCCTGTACTGGTTACCGTAGCATGGAGGGTATCCATACACCTCTATAAATGGCATCAGCCTAGACTGCTAAGCAGTGCTTTGGCAGATGTGCCCTGTTCATGTTTGGTCGCCAATGGCCTTGACCAGTGCTATGGGTCGAAGACCTGGGTTGCACCGCACCCATTGGCAGTGCACAGAAGCGTGCAGTACGAGCACGAAACGATCTCGCGTGTGTTTTGTTTGGCGTACGGCCAGCAAGCACCTGCTGCAGCAGGATAGATGCAACAGCACTGAAGGCCATGCTTGAGTTGCTTCTCCTAGCTCTGCCGCGGCCCAGCGCCAGCCCAGCAAGGACTCCGACGGATCAAACTTCACCAGCTTTTCACCAGCTTTCCAGGACACCGAGCTGCTCACCGGTGGACTTGCTGTCTGAAGGGAGCCCTCAGGCCTGTCATGGCCTCTCGGCCTGTCCTTCTCATGATGATTCCGTAGCCGCCGTAGCCATAAGGTTTTCTCTCATGGAGCTGAGCAGGCCGATCCTTTCGGCATGGAGCGGCTATCGTCCAAAGCATCCCTCTCCGCAACGTCAGAGGAGGCTGGACAGTCGTCATTCTGTGCCTTGCAGCCCTCTCGACTGCTAAGTCCGATCCCAAGGCCACAGCAGCAACAGCCGCAGCAGAAACTGCCACGCCCATTGCGGCGGCCCAGCAGGCTCGCCTTTGCAGGTTGCTGCAAGATTCTGCAAGTGTTGTCGATGCACAAAGTGAAGGTAGAGTTAGAGTTTTGTATTTAGTTCTCCAGCGGTGGCCTAAGGACTTGCTGGATTTTGGAGATCCACCATCCGAGCCATCAACGCCCATCACACCGATGCAGATTCCACAGACACTGCAGACAGGAGCTCCGACAAAAGAATAATACCAGATTATCCAGCATGCGCTGTCAGAGCAAAGACAAGATGCAGGGGAACTGTGGTTTGGAAGTCTCAGGACAGCTGGTCTTGGCAAAGTTCCAGACTGGCTGGTACTTCGCAAACGTAACAAGTCGCTTTGGAAATCTTAGCAGCTTTCGGGGCTGGTCCGGGGCTGGTGGTTGCGTCTAAGTGCCAAAAGGGTTCCTCCAAGGATCTCATTCTTTGCAGTTCGAGTTCACGACTAGATAGAGTGTAGGAAGTGTAGGGTGCACCTGGTCGCAGCCAGCAACATAACCTGTAGATCCGCTGTCTCTCTACAGACGTCTTCCTTTGGTTTTTGGATGCTTCTAGACAACCGCAACATCAAGGATATGATGGAACCATCGCCAGCGTTTCCTGGCTGAGACCGCAAGGGGCGGTTTGGGGCAACAAGGCGCTTAGAAAGTTGGCAAAAACATGCTGGATTGTCACCTGCCAAGCCAGACTTCCCACGCGTGCAGGAAGAGATGGCGCACTATCTTTGCTCCACTGGAGCAGACGAGACGATGCATGGGGAAAAATTGCCTGTGGCAACACACATCAGGCCATTTTCCTGTACTCCCAGCCCATTCAATCCTCGGCGGGATTCTTATGGTATTTCGCTGTGGTGCTAACGTACAGACTACATCATAATGGTCATCATCATACTTCTGCCCGTCCGCCCGTCTGTGTGATTGTCTGTCTGATTGCTCAAGCCTTGCAGGCTTCCGGACGAGCTTCGAAGCCAGAGGGGACTTCACCCTTCTGCATCACCAGCTTGCTCTGTAGACTTGCTGGGCTGATCTAGGTCACAAGTAAGGTCTCTGCATACTAGCAGGGCTCAACACTTTGGGTCCTTTCTGTCGCATCTCCCCAACATGACAGTGTAAAGTTTAGCACAGGCACATTGTGTCCGTCTCATGGGGCTCTGTTTCTTCACTGATCAAGTGTGCGAGAATTTTTCGGGTGTTGCACAGAGACTAGACTGATGGCGCATGCCCCTCTGCCATTGGAAGGGAAGACCCTTTTCAAGGCAACGCTCGTGAGGCAATGCAAACAAGCGTGCCTCCAAGAGCCTGCTCTTCGAGATGTGCCATGAATTCTTCTCGAAAAGTGAGCCCATTTCTCTGGTACCGCAGAACTCTAGCAAGCAGTCTGGGATCTGAAGCCACGACAGCCTATGGCAGGATGTCAAGATCAAGGACTTGAAGTCCACAGCAGCCCAGAAAATCTTTCAGGACGGGGTGCATGGCTGCCAACAACTCCTCTGCGTCATCTCTACTACAGCATCGGATCCTTAAACGTCTGAAGCTCACAGAAGACGCGTACAAGCCGCATACAACTGTGGAAGCGCTGTGGAAGGACAAGCTTGCGGTCCCCTTGATTAATGCAATTGGCGATTATTTCGAGCACCTCACCAGCATTCAGCTCCAGTGCTGCGGAAATTTCCTGCAAGCGCAACCGGGGATGTTTCTCCAAGCTTCAGGAAGTCTGAGCGTGGATTTGTTGTAGTCGCATCCTGACAATGCTTTTGGAGTGTGTAAAGGTGACTACTTTCCAACAGACATCTCAGGCTGCCCCCGGAGAAGTGTTGTGTGGAAGATGCCTTCATTGTGCGGTATGCGACAGACTCGCAACGGGGCCTGGCCTTGCACCGGGATGGTCATTGTCTTATATGCCTGATGACGGGCAATACTACTTTGCTGCTACCCATGGTTCTGCAGTGAATGCTGACGTAACAGCAATAAGCGCGATCCGCCCTTCCTCCAAGGGTCGATCGTCAGCGCGATCATTACGCTGTCCGACGAGAATCTTGGCGAATGTTGGTGTCAATTCTCCTGAGATTCTCCGGAGCGATATACCAGAGGGAAGCCCAGAGGGATACAAACCTACCCAACTTGAGGCTGGCCCCCTGAAAGCATGAGTTCCATCCCTCCTGGCTCAGGAGCGATTACGTTGGAGGTGGTACTGAGTTCCTGGATGGTAGCGTGTATCGACCTTCCCAAGGCATGGCTTTTGTCGGGCATTCGCTGGAAACATCGCAGTCACAAGACCACTTGGGGAAAGGGTGGTCAGACGCGTAAGTAAGTAAGGTGCATCCTCTCTTTCCTGCATCGAAAGGGAGAGTCAGCATGGTGAAGGGCCGGCCGCCCAAACCCACACAGCGTGCCAAGGCTGACAAGCCAAGATCATCTAGTGTTGCAGTGGTATCAGTGTTATGTACGGACTCCTAGCAGCTTCCAGGAAAATCCTCAGCTTGCTTGCTCGCAGGTGGCGGCATCCTCTTCGGAGGGCAGCGGCTCCACGGCGGGGTCGAGATTCAGCGCGGCGCACGCTGCGATCTCAGCTCAGTGGAGGAAGACCAGAAGAGGTCTTGGCTGGTGGGTTGGAGCCCAGCTGGCTTTGAGCAGTAATTGCAATGAAGGATCTGTAGCGGATAGCTACATGTTTTTTTCTAAAGAGGTCCATCGTCATGGGGCAGTGCAAGTGGGTCACCCAAACTTCCTCAGCAAATGTTTCTTGGTGCAACTACCACCTGATTGGATCTACTTCTCGAGGGCCTGCATCCTTTCTCGTTCGGTTCGTAGGCCTGCAGGCACCCAAGAATTTACGCGCACGCGGGAGGTGGATCACACCCAAAACCCTTGCGTTTCATTCCTTCGTATTCTTGTAGTCCTGGCACGATCTAGCAAGAGCTGTGGTCAGATCACAGACATGGAGCTGAAGGTTCCGCAACGGGTCTGACTTGCCCAGGTTACATCTGCACGATCTTCTTCAAGCTCGGGACTCTGTGAAAACTTGTGCTCCTGTTCTGACAGCAGCAACAGCAGCACCCCGGTCAACCTGCTTTGAGACGTGAGGTGCGGGGGATTCAGCTGCCGCGCAGCTGTGCCGCAAAAAAGCCAAGAAAAGATGGCAAACGCAAATGTTACCATCATCATCATTATTATTGTTATTAATATTCTTGATATGATTAGGTTGTATTACTACTATTATTGTAAAGCTCATCCAAGGACTTGGCCGTGGAAAAGGACAAGCAAGAGGACTCCCACGTGGCTCATTGCTGAGCCTTAAGCCATTTGGACAAGCCAGACCACATATACTTATTGTAATCCCTATATAATGCTCATATACTCAGTTCCCTTATTCCCTACGAAGAAGCATTAAGTTTGTATCAGTAGCTTTTTTTTGCGCAGGATGGAGATCCAGGAATCTGGCGAATGGTCGCGGACTTGATGGGCGTCGGGAAGTGAGTCGCCAGACTTTCTTGAACTTGTTTTAGTGCCTCTGAATGGGGCTCCTGGCTCACCATGCAAGATATTGTGAAAGATACTTTGGGCGGCAGCTGCTGCTCTACTAGTCGATCCCATGATTTTCCAGCAGCCGCCTGGAAGAGCCCGAAGCAGGCAGCCTACAACATGGGATCAAAACAAACACACACGCAGCCCCACTCATCAAAAAGAGATTCCTGAGATTTCGGAGAATCGAGTCACTTGGAGCTATGTACTGGTCCGTGCTGGCTTGCGTGGCTCAGCTCATGGTTTTGTAGACCTCAACAGACCCGGCAACATCGCATCAGAGCATCATGCAACACTCCAGAAGGGCTACGGCAATGAGGAGAGCTACAGAAGTTTTTGGTGAGTGTTCAAACATTCGTTTGGGGAATGTGTCGAGAAGCATGTTGCGCAGCATCTCATACGCCATGCCAGCCACCTCATGGAGTTCTTGGAGGCTCAGCAAGATCTTGCCTAGGAATCTAGAAGGGCTGCTTTCAGCAGCGCTCGGCTGCAGGCATCCACGATCAAAACCAAGACGAAGGTCGGACGAGGGATGTAACAATGAGAACTGAGCTTGGTCCAGAAGCTCTTGTTCACTACTGCACTTCCTGGAGATGAGTGATATGTTTGACCGTGCGGAGGTACAGCAGGATCGGGCAGACAAAGAAGGTCGGAGCACATCTCCACGATCGGAGAGAAGCGAAGCAAGCAATCGAGGCCTCACTTTACCAAAGCCAGCAAAGAGCAAGACTCCTCCCAAAAAGCAAGTGCACCATGGACACCCGGGCGACCCACCCACAAAAGAGTTCTTTGGAGGAGCACCCAGTTCAGCAGCAACCCAAGTTCAAGCAGCATCAGCAGCAGAAGCAGGAATGGCAGCTGGAGTAGCAAGGGGCGTTGGTCTGAAGCTGCCCAAGCCATCAAAGAGCAAGACTCCTCCCAAAAAGCAAGTGCACCATGGACACCCGGGCGACCCACCCACAAAAGAGTTCTTTGGAGGAGCACCCAGTACAGCGGACGCAACCGAGGTTCAAGCAGCATCAGCATCAGCCGCTGCAGTCTCCGCGCCGCCTTCACCACGATCCGAGCAGCAAGACTTCTTGGATTTCTCAGCAGGGGGCAGTGGTCTCAAACTGCCGAAGCCATCAAAGAGCCAGACTCCTCCCAAAGAGCGAGTGCACCATGAACACCCAAACGGCCCACCCGCAAAGGAGTTCTTTGGAGGAGCAGCCAGTGCAGCAGCAACCCAAGTTCGAGCAGCATCAGCATCAGCCGCTGCAGTCTCCACGCCACCTTCACCACGATCTGAGAAGCAAGACTTCTTGGATTTCACTGGGCCTGGTACTTCAGAAGCAGGAATGGCAGCTGGAGTAGCAGTGGGCAGTGGTCTCAAGCTGCCCAAGCCATCAAAGAGCAAGACTCCTCCCAAAAAGCAAGTGCACCATGAACACCCAAACGGCCCACCCGCAAAAGAGTTCTTTGGAGGAGCACC